ATTACGTTCATTTTATAAAGTAACGGTTAAAGTTCTCTACCCGCTCATAACAGTTTGAAATTTTGGTAAACCAAAGTTCTTCCACTTTGGTACTTGGTATAATTGAGCATCGAATGGAAGCATCACTCTGAGCTGTGGCTACCTTACGCTCTGTTCGGTTGGTCGAACTTTCGATGACGAGACTGACGAAGATGTTGGCTGTTGAGGAGGAGGAGGAGGAGGGCTTTGTAGGAAATTCCAGATGAATGAAGGGTAAAGAGAGAAGGAGGTGGAAGAAGGATGGACTTAGCTTTAAGGAGAGTAGACGATTAGGAACAGCTTGGTAGACCCTTGGTTCACCTACTCTCTCTCTCTCTCTCTCTCTCTCTCTCTCTCTCTCTCTCTCTCTCTCTCTCTCTCTTTTTCTCTCTTTCTTTCTTTCCCTTTCTTGTCACTAGCAACGGAAACGTACTCTTGTGACTTTGAACGAATCTCCTTCTCTTTGAGCGACCCTTCGTGACCCCACAAAGGGCTTGAAACATGGCAAAAAGGTCCGCGTGTTCCTTCCCAAGGAACGATTCTACCGGATTGGAAGGACCAAAGGATACCAAGGGAAAGGGACGTGAAATACTCGGACTAGTTTAAATGAAGACGAAAGGTCTATCGTGTTCCTCGAATCTTGAAATCACAGTGTCCCTTCTTTTTTTTTTTCTTTTGTTGCTTTCTTCGAAAACTCCGACTTCAATGAATTTCCACTTTTCTGATACTATCGGTTAAAGTTTATTCTCCATTTAAGTAGCGAAACAGCTGATCGATTTAGGCACATTCTATAACGTTAGATTGTTCGTATTACATTTCTATGTTGATTTATTTGAAACTGTAAGTTTGTCGTTCTTTCGAACAAGTTTTAAAAAGTCAATTTTGTTACCTTAACATTTTTATTATTTTGAGTTGATATTATAAATATAAAGGACATTTATTCGACGATACTAATTGTGAACAATGATATGAATTATAAAAAAAATAAATGAGTAAACTTAATTTTAATATTTACAATGGTACGAAATGAAAATAATTATCAAAATCGTAATTAATGTTGTACAAATGAAATAATTAATTAAATGAAAGAAGAAAAATATATCGGTATCATTTCTTTACTCATCCAAAAAGACGTATTAGAAACTAAGAAAAACTGATTTGACTGATGTTCTTTCTCGAAAATCGAACGAAAAGGTACGAGAACCTTTTCGAACAGAGTAAATTCGGAAACGATGTTAAATAGTTCTTGGGTAAGTTCTCTATCGTGTCCTGTCAAGAATCTTTTCGTGAAAATTTAATGTATTTGTTCTGCGTAGAATAGAAAAAGGTAGAACACTGCAGAACTCTGCGTTCATAAGGAAAGTACCTTCATAGCCCCTAAGGATTTCTTGCTCGAATTTGAGCTCATTTTTCGTCTGTCTATCATTGATCATGGTTAGTCTCTTTTTTTCTTCTTTTTTGATTTCTCGTTACATTCGTGGTTTATTTTCGTTAGACTTTAGCAAGGATCTATGGATCTCAATAAATCTTGACTGACCATCGCGAACGGTTAATGGAAAAGTTGGGCTTTTTATTAGCGAATGGTACAAGACTCTTGAGATTTCTTTGGAAATGTATATATATATATTATATATATAGATCCTTATGTGAACCCATCTTTGGGGTTATTCGTTCATCTTTTCTCTCATCCTTGTATTGTGTCAAGATGCCTAATGGATATCTGATAATGAAAGAATCGATTTGTATGTATATGTTAAGATGAGTCATCTAAATCACGTTGTTCGTAATTCCAAAGATTTTTCTTATCATTTTATTAATACTTAAATTGAATGTGAATTCGAAATGATTATTATTGAAAATGTGTCTTATACCTATATAAATTATCTATGATGGTAGAAACAATTAATCTTTGAATGAAATAATACATTGCTCCTCGATACGATTATGGAAATATTTTGTTGTAATATGAATCAAAGTGATCTACAGAGGATTTCACAACACGATGTTATTGTACACAGGTAGTCGCTAATTCAAATGTAGATTCCTCCCCCTCGATACGTTTAAGTTTACAATTTACTGACAACCGTTTAGATATTCTACTCGGGCGTTGGAACGAACCCTTAGCTATTCAAGACCAAGTTAGGGTTAATTATGTCATCGTGATCGATCTGTTTGCACGGTTCGAACAACTGTCTCTTTGTTGAATAGTTTCGATTGTTACTTGTCATTAAGGTAATTTGAAACTTTCTTATAGCAATACATCTCAGCAAATCCGTACTGAAGAATATAATATTAAAAACTGTCGAAGAGTTTTCACGAATTTGATCGAATGGTAATTATCGTATCGAGTTACGAAAAAAAAAAGTAAATAAAAATATAAAAAAAGAACATTATTTCAGTTGTTGTATATTGTCAAAGATGACCAGTTAGAAAGTCATAGTTAAATCGTAAAAAGTAGAATCGGTAGGTCTTACTACCCTATGGGCAAATTTCCGATTTATTCAAGCCCGTGCCCGAATACTTGGGAGCCCATAAAGAGAATGAATGGGATTGTGGCGGTTGCAGCAATGCTCAGGGCTGCTTTAGGGGTTCATGAAATACGCGCTCTGCCACCCTCGTTCAGAGCTTTTCCTACTACTGGTTCTTCCTTCTCTCTCTCTCTCTCACTCTCTCACTCTCATTCATCGACTGTCTCTCTCTTTCAATCTCACTCGTCGACCACGTCTCTTCATTCCCCTTGAACCTCTTCCATGCCGAATCGAAATTTCCTCCTCCTCTCTCTCTTTCTCTCTCTCTCTCTCTCTCTCTCCGCGGGGTGGCCACTGGTATTACCATGAATTTACATAGCCTCGCTCGAAACTCAGAACATATTGCGCGGGCTTTGATTTATGCGAAACATTTGCTAAATATTCTCGCTTAATCTCGGCTCACCCGCGAGATGCCGGACGAGAAACGGGAACAGAGAAATGCGGAACGGGACTTGCAACTACTATGAGGGGTTCTCAATGTGTATCACCAACCAACTAACATTAGCTTCGTCGTAGTCGTTGACTTTTACTTTGCTTTCAAGCAACGGGGAGAACGCGTGCTTGAGATAGAGATAGAGAGAGAGAGAGAGAGAGAAGAAAAAAAAAGGAAAAAGAACGTAAATATTCGTTATTGAATTATAACGAGAATTGTGCTGTTCGGATTGTCAAAAAGTTCAAATTGAATGGGAATATCGACGAAATTAGTCTTTTTGATATTTATTATTTTTAACACACATAGCGAGTTACGATATTAATATTTATTTAAGGTAATATTGTTTTTAATATGATTAATCATTTAACAAAATATAATAAGAGAATAGTATCGACGAGACGGCCTAGTTCGCATTTGGCTTCCTCCGTCCAGTGACAAACAGGGAAATCACCCTGCTAAATCCCCCTTCCCCCTCAGTCTAGGTGATTGCCCGAAGCCTTGTTAGTTCAGGAAATGCGTTACCACTTGTTAGTATCAATTTCAAAGATTGACAAGAACTAGGAAGTTAGAAAATAATATCTTCTCTAAGCTGATCTTCTTATCGTCGGTCTAGACATTTTCGCGAAGAGTAAGAATAAAATAGATCTAATAATAATGATAATCATATCATTCGTTAATGGAAACATATTACCTAAAGAATCAAAAAAAGGAAAGAAAAAAGGGAATAATCGAGTACGTAAAAAAAAAGAAAAGAAAGAAAAAAAACGATCTTCGATCATCGGTAACGTTCGATTACCACCCTCTCCTCTAATCCTTTTCAAGGCGAGCGAGCCCCCTCCTATAGAATTTTTTCTTCCATTTACCACTTCACCATATTCATATAGGGGCCTCTCTTTGCTCACAATAAACGCGGGCCATTTGCATGCGAGGTCTCCGAGAATAAAACGGCAGCATTCCCTGGATATATCCGCGTGGAGTCGAAGATGGGTTGGTGTTACAGGGAAACCACCACCCCTAGTCCCTTTACCGAGTAGAAACGAAGCTGCCAGCCAGCCAGCTTGCCTGCCTGCCTGCCTGCTTGCTTGCTTGCTTGCTTGCTTGCTTGCTTCCCAAGCTCCAGCAGTGCGATAAGCCGCCCTCAGGGGATTCGCGATTGTCTCGATTTATATGCACGCACGGACCTAGGTGGTAGGCTGATTCTCTCTCTCCCCCTCTGTCACTCTCACTCTCACTCTCACCCTCTAGTTTGGGAGCTTTGTCGTTAGGTAGAGAGAAAGAAGGAAGGGTAGGGTACCAAGCTCCTGGCCTTCCTGCTGGTTTCCTGGTAATAGTCCTGTTATTGCTCTTGCTGACTATTCTCGCGAGGACACCCACCCATCGATAGATCGATTCTCCAACAGACAGTAAATATCGCTGATGAGCTGGACCAGTCGTGTTCCTAAATGTTCGTTCGTTCGTTGGTTGGTTGTTTGGTTGGTTGGTAGGTAGGGATGGCTGGGTTTGCTTACCCTGCGATTTGTCGAGTGGTACAAATCCTTGTTTGACTCGACTTCAAATGCTCTTTCGTTTTTTCGGTTGTTAGACCCTTATTCTCTCTCTTGTTTTTTATTCTACATGAAATTTCTCTCTTCATTTCATACGTCGTTCTCCCTATTCCTTTTTATATGACGCGTGCTCGAAACAGGACATAGGTAATTAGAGAAAAGAAAAAAATTTGGAGAAAAGAAAAAAATATAATTTGTCTTTTTTCTTCTTCGTTGTTATCCTTGTTGGATTGAATTTGAATCTTTGATAGGAAGCTGTCTCTTTTGACAGACATTATGTTCTCTGATGTAATTGTTTTTCATTGATCCGGTATACGTATGTGTATGGATATGTGTGTGTATATGTGTGCGTTAAAGTAATTGAAATTCAATGAACGTTTTGAATTTAAGGTACTTTATTTTTCTCTATCCCTCCTTTTTTCTCATACGTTTGAGCAGACACTTATATACCGTTTCGGTTTCTGTTTCTTTTTTCAGGTCTCATTGTGCGACGAGTATAGTCTACCAGTCGACTTTGTAAACAAGAAACGTCCTGCTAGTGCTGCAGCTGCAACTTCCTCGATTCAGTGGACTTTGCCAAGTCCTACTGTCGAGAACGTGAGTTCTTATTTCTCTTTCTCTTGACTTATCTAGTTTATTCTCGACACTTTTATACTGATTAAAGTAAATAACAAAATTATCAATGTCTTTTATTTATCCAGAATAAACTCATTCAAGTATTTATCAGTTGTCGAACAATGTTACATTTTTCCTATAAAATGTTTTGTAATTTTGTAGAAAGTACGTTTGTTTATTTAGTTTTTTTTTTTTTTTTTTTTTTTTTTTTT